AGGCCAGGGCCGAGGCGGGAGGAGGGAGCCGGAGGAGAGGCGTTAGGTGGGTCGGGGGTGAGCGAGGAGGGGGAAAGGCGAAAGGGCGCTTGAGCAGCGAGGACTGGGGATGAGGAGTCTCCTGGGGAGAGGACCACGGGGCTCACCCGGGCTGGGGATGGGAGTTGCGGGCTTGGAGCTTGGCATGAGCAAAGGCTGGCGTGCTGGAGAGCTTTGTGGCAGTAGTGGCGAGAGCTGCGCGGCCGGTCAGGGGCTTGGGGAGGGCCTCTAGGCTAGAAGCAGGTGACTGAATTTTGGCTGAAAATTAAAAAATTCAGACTCCAGAACAGTTGCCTCTGCTTGTTAAAACCCTGAATTCTACGCATCTGTCTTAACGGCCTTGAAAGCTGATGCTCCGAAATCTTTAACCTCATCTGCTTCCATCCGCTAACTATTCCCTTCCGTCTGCTTGTGGCCCTCTTCCCAAGTGTCACGGAGCAGAGCTGCCTGCCTGAGTGGTGGGCTCGCAGGCGGTGCCCGTGTGTGTTGGGGTGAGGGTCACAAAAATCCATGGGGGCGTGTTGGATTGGGGGGGTGCATGCCAAGTCCCTCGAAAGCATGGAGCTCTGGAGGTGTGACGGTGGTAGGGAGAAGTCTGGGCCTAAAGCAACTGAAGGACTGTGGTGCTCTGATATTTTAAACAAGATGTAAAATTGGAGTAATCTGATGACATAAATAAGGATTTTGTTAAAAGCTGGTAATACAGATGTCTGGTAGTGCTGTAACAACACAAAAATAAACACTTTAAAAAGCTGACTTTGAAGTTAAACATCGAATCTCAGGTTGAGTTATTGATGTTTTTCAGATCTCCACAATGTCCAAACCTAGAAAAACCAAACTGTAGTGTAATCGCAAAAGTGAAACTACACCTTACCATTTTATCACTTATAAAGGAGAATACACATCTAAGCAGAAAAGCAGTACCACTGCTTAATGGCTGTTTATATGGACCACATAAAAGGATAAAAAAAGTTGTTCTTAACATCACCAAGCATAGCTTCTGCACTTGTTTCCAGAAAAGTTAAAAATTAGAATATAACCCATAGAAGCAATTATTGTGATGTGTATTGACCCACTTTGTTTGCTCAAGTCCGTGCTTAATGCACATCCTGGAAACTGGTGTACAACAGATGAGCCCAGGTTTCAGCAGTGGGAGTGTTGTATTGGTTCACAGTATTTCACCTTATGTGAGATATGTGTATTTTCACATTATTGTGAAAACTGGAGGAGGTACAAAACTGCAGGCCAGAGATCAGAAGACCCTTATGAATTCAATTAATTTTTTTAGATCTTATTTAACTGCTAATACAGTAAATTAACTTACCTGAAGTCAACAGTTAACCAGAAATGAGTTCAGTATGCAATCAAAATATAGGCAAACTATGATGTATTTATTCCTGCACTTTAGTAAATTTTTTTCCCTGCTACTGAAAATCCTTTGCAAAATTATTGCCTATAAGTTACAATTACTAAGGACATACTGTGTTGTCCATCTTCCGAGTTTTGTGAGGATAAAGGTATTTGCTGTCTAGATGTCTTGACTACATTTTCCTTTTATTTTGAGGTGAGTCACCAGGAAGCAATAATGAATTCTAAACATTACCCAACAACAGTTATTGATACAAGTGTTCTTCATATTACTTCATGGGAGGAAGTAAATTGCACTCCCTTATCAATGGTAACACAACCTTTCGTACTCAGGATTGGCAAAGCTCTTTTATGAGAAGCTTAGTTTTGTATGAGTGTAAAACATAATCGTTCATATATATTGAGTGGAGCTCCTATTTAAAAAGGGAAGTGCGCTCTGTTAAGGAAGGGCTTGTTCTGCGTAGGCAGTGATCTTAGGAAATTACTTTAGTGAGCTGATTCTGAACCATTCCAGTAAGTCTCTTAAGAGTTTGTGTTTATAATTATGTAGTACTAGAAGTGACTTGCAGAAGGGGAAAAAGGGTACTGGAGTATTTGCTGTAAAATTCTGTCTCAAAATTTTAAAGGAAGATAACTGCAAACATTCCTTTTTTCGAGCCAGATTGCTACCGCTGGCTCAGGAGACGACTGAAAAATGGGTGTGTTCTAAATTACATAGTACTAAATGAGGGTGAAAAGCATTCAAGATTCCCCTTTTTTTAACACTTGTTTAAATAAACTACCATAAAGATTCAGTGGAGACAGTGTTGGTGCAGGTTACTGTTATTCAGTGCCTCAGAATTGTGATTACATACTGATAATTCTAAATATGATTTATGAAATTGAAAAGCCTGTCGAAAAAAGGATACAAGACTTGACTCCGGTGAAAAAACCATCACCCTCAAAATCTGAAGGGACAACCTCTTTTTCTGTGTCCTCTTGAAATATGAGGGAAATAAAAGCAAAAATACTTTAGACCCTTTTTTCACTTCAGGTCAACTTTTACTAGTAGCAGCTAAATCAGTGGGATTTATTGAAATGCCTGAGTTTTTTCCCCCCCTCTATGCATATTTATATTACTGCTTTCTAGTTCCACAGATAAAACCCACTCATGCAAATACTCGTGCACATAACTTACATGCATAAAGAATATGCAAATGCATTTGTATGAATGGTCAGTAATTGGGGTATTTTTAAGATATATAAAGAAAAAATATTTTGGAGATGTGGCTTTTTCTCTATGATCTTGCAGCTGAATTTACTGTGTTCTGTGCAGAATGGCTGTTGATGGTGGGTGTGGGGACACTGGAGACTGGGAAGGTCGCTGGAACCATGTAAGGAAGTTCCTCGAGCGATCTGGACCATTCACACATCCTGATTTCGAGCCAGGCACTCAAGTGAGAAACACTTACTTTAAATAAAAAATCTGTAGCATGTGTTGCAAACTAATGTAAACAGTTTCATTAATTGACCACCAGCAGTGTACGAATGCTAAAGCTACACGAGAAGCTTATATTTTAATCAGTTGAACATTACGATTCTGGAAGAACGTATTGTATTCTTTTTATAAGCTTGTATTTCTAGATTGTACACTGTCAACTACGAGCTTGCTGTCATCATGTATATAAAAATATAACAAGATATGAATTATGCTCTTGTCTTTGAGTTCCGCATGAAAAATAGCAGCATTTCTCTCTCCATTTTAAAGTAATTAGATATGGTAAGGAATTTCTTGTACTTAAAGAAGTACAAGATGTTTAGTAGGGAAAAGCAAACTTTAGACTCATTATTTCTTCTGCTTTCCCTTTTTGGTACATTTTGTTCCAGAGCTTACAGCTGAATGTATTTTACTTTACTTTTTAATGTACTTTTTAATGTACTGTTCCGTTATTTACTAGTTTGAGGCTGAGGTCCAGTGGGACAGTTCACAGAAAACAGTTATATAGTTGAAAAATTCAGTTCTTTTTGGCCAGCAATATTGACTATCTGTTTTGATTTATTTTGTATTATATGTCAGTAAAATGTTTGGAGAAAGAAAACATTATCTGCTTAAACCAAATAATAATAATAAAGTTGGACTTTGCTTTTCTTCATGGTGAAAAATAATATACAAAGAGTACTGATATCAACAAAGGTCTTGCTTTTCTGTAAGTTGGGATGTAGGAACTGCATGAACTCAACAGTCGATTAAAGTCCGATATGTAATTACTCCTGCAAGCACAAACTGTTTTATTGATCTAAGTTGTTGTATCCTGAAACATATTAGGCACTGAAAATTTACGGTAACACATTTATAAGGGTGATGAAGCAAAGGACAAATTACAGTTATTCCTGTTTGGTGTATTAATTTTTTATTTTACGTTTTCCGCAGGCTCTTGAGTTTTTGTTAAGCACGTGTAAAGTACTAGTTATTGGAGCAGGAGGATTAGGATGCGAACTCCTGAAAAACCTGGTAATTACTCAGTTTTCACCCTTTGCTTCTTAGAATCTTCTTTTTTTTTTTTTCCATGAGGAAATTGTCTTTTCTGCTTTGCTAATTTGGCATTTTTTAATTGTATATAGCTACTAAATTTCTAAGTCTAATTAAAATGTATAAAATATGTGACAATGCAGACAATCTTGAAGAATGCACTTCGTTAATAAGCTTGAAAGGTGGTAGGCAAATGTGTTGCACGTTATTTATTTAGCTGTCTCAAAGCTTGTTATGAGGGAGAACATGGTGCTGCTTGTGAAGTGTAGACAAAAGACTTGCAGCCTTTAGATATGGTCTAATGTTGGTAATTTTTTTCCCTAATTACGAGATCTAGGGAAATTAAGTAAACTAAGAACAAGTCATGCTCACAATGATACAAGGAAGTGTTGTTTGGAATACGATGGCTAAAATGTATCTTTTCAGATGAGAAGTGATACTTTAAGCTGCTGTAAGTAGCCAGTACAAAGCTTAGTCTTAACAGTCAAAGCTGAATTTAATTTCAGTTTATTTTACATCTTTGGATTAATTCATAGTGAGGTTAGAATTGCTGAAATTTTTTATGTCCTTCCATAGTGAAATTAGTAGAGCCAGAATTACTGTGCCTGCAGTGGCCCTGATGTCTGTGGCATCTGTTTGGCCTTCCTGAGTAGTGGCTCTCAGGTTTTCCAGTTCCCCAAGATCGGTAGAGCAGAGGTTGTCTGCAGAGCCTGAACGCTCCCTCGGAGTTGTGTCTGTGTGGCTGCATTCAGCCTACGTAATGGCAGCTTTATTGAGCCAGAGCAGCATGCGCTGTCCTGTGTGGAAATGGCTGAGGAGGAAGAGGTAACAGTGCCAGAACAGGGAAGGAACGTGACAGTACTTCCCTGGGGTACAGATCACCAGAAGGTATTCTGTAGTTTTCTTGATATGGTGTTAGTTCATAATGGATTCTCTCACTACGTGTTCTGAAAAGCAATTTTTAAGTGTTTAAAAGGCAGTTACTGGATCATCTGCTGTCAGACATTTACACAATACATGTGTATGAATTTAATTATCCTACTAACATGGTTTTTATCCTCACAGACACTCATATTTATCATAGTGTATCACTGTTACCATCCTGTTTGGGTTTGGTAGCTTAGACTAATACTGTGCTTTTCCATGCTTCTATTCAATAATAAGAATTTCTGTCCTTATGGATGCCATGGAAAATGTGTGGATTGATACAACAAGTTCTTATGAAATAATTTTTTTCCTTATTTTATACCAACACTTATGCATTAGTGTACTTTACTATAGAATTTATGTACTGCTATTTCAGTATTTCCACAGATTGCCTCCAGGCTTGAGATGCTTGATAAATCGGTAGCCTCATTTAAAGCCCGGCATTCCAGATACATTAATTTAGGGGTTTTAAAGTTGCAGCACTTGTGTATACTCTTGTTCATGCTTAAGCAGGATTTTACTGTGACAGCTCCAATGCAGTTTTCTTTCTTTTGGAAGTTAGTTCTGGTGAATTTAACCTCTGCCCAGAGCTACTGTTTCATTGGTTTATGGGGACATAACAAATTCAATCTGCTGATAGCTCGTTGACAGGCAGGATTTGTATGGGATAAGGGACTTCGTAAGTGTGCTGTGTGTGCTCAGTTCCCA